GGGGGGGGGATGGGCTAAAATAGGTGATGGGCATTAAGGAGGGCACTTGCTGCGTTGAGCACTGCATATTATAAGTGATGAATCACTAAATTCTACTCCTGAAACCAGTATTATACTATATGTTAACTAACTAGAATTTATATTAAAATTGGAAATAAAACCTAAGAATAAAAAATAATAGAAAATTAAAAATATATATCTATTTTGTTTTAAGTTTTATTCCTTTGATTTAAAAATTTATGAATTTTAGGGGCATCTGGATGACTCAGTCGGTTAAGCGTCTGACTTCAGCTCAAGATCATGATTCTCAGGGTTTGTGAGTTCAAGCCCCGCATCTGCTAACAGCTCAGAGCCTGGATCCTGGTTCAGATTCTGTGTCTCCCTCTCTCTCTGCCCCTCCCCTGCTTGTGCTCTGTCTCTCTCTGTCGCTCAAAAATAAATAAATGTTAAAAAAATTTTTTTAATTAAGAATTTTAAATTCCAATAAAGCCCTGTTTTGTAGGCAAAAAAAATAATAGTAACAAGAACCTTCTTTAGGAGAATGGAGCAGAACAGGGAAATAGAGACAATAGAGACATGATTGGAGGGACTTTTTTTTTTTTTCAACGTTTTTTATTTATTTTTGGGACAGAGACAGAGCATGAACAGGGGAGGGGCAGAGAGAGAGGGAGACACAGAATCGGAAACAGCCTCCAGGCTCCGAGCCATCAGCCCAGAGCCTGACGCGGGTCTCGAACTCACGGAACGCGAGATCGTGACCTGGCTGAAGTCGGACGCTTAACCGACTGCGCCACCCAGGCGCCCCTGGAGGGACTTTTAAAACTCCCCATGTTTGCAACGGGAGAGGGTGGAGGGCAGTGTTGGTGAGTGGAAAATAAAGTACCTAGCAAGGAACATAATCGTTATGGAAGTATACACTGATACAATGGGATGCTATGTAGCTATTAAAAAGAACAGGTGGCTATTTATATGGAAAGATCTTCAAGATGTTATTAAGGAGGAAAAAGGGAGAAGCTCAAAAATATACATTTTTCATGCATTCAACCACACATATATATCTGTTTGAATATGTATTATAATTTTCTGGGAAAAGAAAATAAACATTAGCAGTGGTTCCCTCTCGGGGGTGGAGGATTGGGAGAGGAGTGCTTGAAATAATTTTATGTGTTTTTAGTTTAAAACACATACCTAGGGGCGCCTGGGTGGCGCAGTCGGTTGGGCGTCGGACTTCAGCCAGGTCACGATCTCGCGGTCTGTGAGTTCGAGCCCCGCGTCGGGCTCTGGGCTGATGGCTCAGAGCCTGGAGCCTGTTTCCGATTCTGTGTCTCCCTCTCTCTCTGCCCCTCCCCCGTTCATGCTCTGTCTCTCTCTGTCCCAAAAATAAATAAACGTTGAAAAAAAAATTTTTTTAATAATAAAAAAAAACCACATACCTATACTCCTTCCTGGCTTCGGTAGAGCCAAGGAGTCTTAAAAGCACTCACCTGATGACTGCATTAAACCCTCTGTCATTTGGGGTGCCTGGGTGGCTCAGTCAGTTGACTTCAGCTCAGATCATGACCTCATGGTTGGGGGAACTGAGCCCCACTGGGCTCTGTGCTGAACATGGAGCCTGATTGGGATTCTCTCTCTGCCCCTTCCCTGTGCACACTCTCTCTCAAAACAAATAAACTTAAAAAAAAAAAAAAAAAAACTTCTGTGAATCTAGGAAAAGGCAAAGAACAACTTTATAAACTATTAGTTTTCCACAATCACTTCATTGCTGACAAGAAACCTCCAGGAATTCAAGTATACACAAACACATTTTAAAACCTTCAAGACACTGTTTAATCAGTAGTTTTAAGGCACATTTGTTAGACCTGTACTTCAACAATTATACAGACATCACTTGAAGTTATTAAAGTTATCAAAATATATAAAAACATTCAAGTAAGAGGTATGCAAATCAGCAGCATTTAACCAAAATGAATATATTAGCATACTTCAGTATCAATTTTATAACAGGGAAAGAAAATGGGAGTTTCCATCTCACACACTTACATATGTACACACACATGTGCGCGCGCACACACACACACACACACACACACACACACAAACTTGACTGTTCTCAGAAGCATGGTGAAAGCAAAAACATATAAATAAGTGCAGTAGGTAAAAATACCAACAATTAGAATTTTTTTCAAGTGAGGCTAGAGTGAACTTCTGGTTACTCAAAATTCTGTGATACTAGTTATTAGCCAGAAAAGCTCATTTGTCTCACAGGTACAAAAGTATCACATGTTAATGGTAACTTTGGGGAACAGCAAGAAAATGATCTGGCAAAGGGACAAATATATAGAAATGTGTAAACTATGGAAAGCATTCTTTGCTCCTCAGAGCAAGGGGTCCATCGTTTTGAGTAATGGCGGGTTGGGTGTGGGGATGGGAATACTCTTAGCAGAGCACGGCTTTCCAAAACAGGTACCCAGCTTTAAACTCCAGGTTACTCCCGAGGAAAGGTTTAGAGCCTGTGAAAGGAAGGAAAACAACAGAAGAAAGGCTCCGATGGTCTGTTACAAAACTCAGTACTTTAAAAAAGATTCTGAAGATAATTAAGACACAAACTGATTACGTGAAACCATAACTTAGGCTTACTAAAAGGTTCAGAGCTATCAATTCCATGTAAGTTTATGATGAGGTATTTATTGCATGTGGTTTTTGCTGTAACGGAAATCTTAAGCGGTACTCTGCCTATCATGTAAAATAAAACTTAAAATTTTAGGCACAAGGAAACAATAGCCCTGAACATATGGCATTGCAGATGCCAGCATTCAGTGTCCTCTGGGACACTTGCACAGGCTGGTCTGATGCTGCAACCCATGATCCTCAAACACTTATGCACATAAACCATGGCCCCCTGTGCTCCATGCACACACTCAACTGCCCTTTCCGGCCTGGCTCTGAAATGTGAAGTGTCCATGAGAAATGGGGACCTCAGTGCAGGAAGGAAAATGGCATTTGGAAGACTTGAAAGACAAGCTTTGCCTCTTAATTTTGATACCCAGGGCCCTCTGCTAAGTCTCAGAACTCAGGACCAGAAGGGAACTCAAGACCTATGGATACCCAGCACCTTAGAGACAGCTCCCCCCCAACCCCGAGCACCTCCCCACCCCCGAGTAATAAGGCGGCAGCAAAATACCCAGGAACTAAGACATCAAGGCCCCCAATCCACAGCATTCCCCTCCTCCCCAAACTTAACCTTATTCACACAGCAGGGATGGCTTTTCTCTCTCATATTACTACCAGGTAACTGGACTTATATAGCCACCCTCTCCATGTTTCCACCATCTGTTTCAAACATCTGAATTAAAGGATTTCTCTTCATGAAAAAAAAAAAAAAATCAGGTCTTGGAACCATTTAAAAAGGATTACTACTTCTTAAGGAACACTTCTCAGCCTAAAACTCCAGAACCTGGTTCAAAAGAACGAGCCCAGTCTCATGAACGGATGACTCCCACAATTAACTGTAAGAGACAACACAAATGCACTTTGAAAAATATAAAAGGGCTCTCCTCCTCAAATTTTGTTCTATCAGCCTAAACGGCTACGTAAGTTAGTTTTGTGGGGGAGTCACCAAGCTGCTGGTCTATAGGCAAACCAGGTTTGAACCTGGTCTTTCTAAGACACTAAAATGAGGGGCTGGGTTATATTAGGGGTGGGTTACAGCCACCGCAGCTGCATAATATGGAGCTACTTTCAGGAAAAGTCTCAACTCCAGAAAAATATATTTTAAAATCTCTGCTCCAAACCCAGGTGGACTCTGTAGGCTCAGCAGGTCAGCTTCTGAGCAACACGCAGTAGGATCCTCACTGCCAGTCTAGACGGTTCTTCATATCCCTCTGGGCTTCCGTTAGTTTCTGAATTAGATAACGCTTGTCACGACTTTCCTAAAGACAGAGATGGGTGCAAGAGCACATTCAATATTTTTGGATACATGTATCATCATTTCAACCTAATAAATTGCCTGTCAGACTCACAGTTAATGATCCTAACCCCCGGATGGTTGTAATGGCCTCCAAACTGGTCTGCCTCTGGCACTCTTGCCCCTCCATGGCCCCTTGTCGACAAAGTGGCCAACAGTCTTGTAAAAATGTACATCAGGAGGCGCCTGGGTGGCTCAGTTGGTAAAGCATCCGACTTCAGCTCAGGTCACGATCTTGCAGTTTGTGGGTTCAAGCCCTGCGTTAGGCTCTGTGCTGACAGCTCAGAGCCTGGAGCCTGCTTCGGATTCTGTCTCCCTCTCTCTCTGCCCTACCCCTGCTCATATTCTCTTTCTTTCTCTCTCAAAAATAAATAAACATTAAAAAGAAATGTACACCAGACTGCTACTGAACACATTTCACTGGTTTCCCATCACACTCAGAATTAAACTCAATCTTCTCAACAGAGCCTTCAGACTGTGCTGTAACCCCCGCTGATAAGCCACCGTCCTCCAGCCCCAGGGGTGCCCTCACTGTCCCCTCTGCCTGTTACTCTCATCCCCAAGACCTCCCACAGCATTCAAGTCTCAGCTCCAATGTCACCTCCTCAAAGTGGGCTTCAGGGGCCACCATCGACAGCAGTAGATGGCCACTCATCTTGTCTGTGTTCTCTTCATGGCAGTTACTGCTATTGAAATTTATCACTTTTTCTGTAACTATTTAGCAATCTTGTCTCCCTTTATCACCACCGTATCCCAGCACAGTGTGAAGAGCAGGGAGTGATCAATACACATGTTGAAAGACTGGATGAATGAAGCTGGGGAAGGCCCGGCCTGAATGCAGAGTTTAGGAAAGTGGTGGTGAGCGGGGCCACAGCATTCCACCCTCTCCCTGGGAAAAGTGCCACTTTCTGTTAGATGTCCTGGGTAAAGGTCCCCAGCCATGACCCTCTGGACCTGCTCTTCCTTACCAGGGACAGCTGCTCTCGGAGCTGGACCACCACCCGCTTGTGTGCTCCGGCAAGGGCGATGAAATAAAACATAATGAGGCTGCAACACAAGGTGGAGAGGTCAGTAGGGAGTTTGCACCATTTGAAGGCCACTAGAAAAACCACCTGATCCATTTTGCCCAGGACAGTTTTACTGTTGTTAGGAAAAGAAGGAAGGAAAAAAAGAGAGGGAGGGAGAAAGGAATGGAAGGAAGGAAGGAAGGAAGGAAGGAAGGAAGGAAGGAAGGAAGGAAGGAAGGAAGGAAGGAAGGAAAGGGAAGAAGAGAAAAGGAAAGGAAAAGGAAAAAGAAAAAGAAAGACAAAACTCATTCATCCTAAGCAGAGGGCAATCAGAAATGGCCCCAGAGGGGTTGTGAGTTGGCAGTGGTAGCAGAGACTGATTCATGCCTTGCTTTTTAAGCTAATATTAAAAGTTGTTGCTGTTCCCTTGGCACATAGAATATGATAGGGAGAGACAAGGAAATGGTCCAGAAAGTCAGCTCAGCATAGAATGCACTGGCTGTGGATAATCACTGTGGAACCCCCCTCGTCTCAGTTTCCTCATCTGTAAAATGGGGATAATATAGTAAACCCCAGGGACAACAAGCCTAGGATAATACATTTTTGAATAAAAGCAACTGGCAATTGGCTCCTATCTTCCATGTAGTCCCAGATCTCAAAGTGGGGTGATTGAAATGACTGTCTTTGGGGTGAGGAGCAAGTGGAGTGGAGAGCAAGCCCCCAGGAAAAGAGTAGGCAACTCATTCCATTCCATGAAGGGGAGGTGGTTTCCTGTCCAATCTCCCCAGATAGGGCTGAGGAAATGAGGGCCACTGGAAACACTGATATCAATGAAACTCTTCTAGAAGATACAATGGCCACAGGACAAGAATGGCCAGATCAGGTAACCGCCACCAGATGGCGTCAGCCAAATGACAGCTGGAGTAAATGCACAGGGCCAGGAGTCTCTGCATCCTGGGGTCCTCAGAATTCCAGGCTGGTTGTCTGCACAGCTCCCCCAAACCATGTTGTTAATCTCATCAAAGGTATCATGCCTTTAACAAATACATTTCTGAAGCTCACTTCTTGCATTGGGTGGGGCTTTACTGTAAGAATATCTCTATCATGGGGTAAATTGCGATGATTTCATTCATTACAGTTAATACATACCAGCTACAATCAATTCTAGTTATTTGTGGTAGTTCTATTCTATAAAGCTTCTAGGAACACCTGATTAGTGAATTCTGAACCAATGGCCCTAGGGGAAATACAAGGGGAGGTTCCTTGAGTCACTGGTCACAACATTTTTGTCAACTGATCAATACCTTGTTTTATGTTTCTTATTCATTGAGCAAATCAGCTATCAATACATAATCTTGCTTCTGTCTAAAGATAATTTAGTTACCATTATTGTTGATTCCTTAACTCTGAACTCAGTGTCAACAGTACCATAACCCATGCCTGAATGAAGCTTATGTAACATACAGATTTTCTTTGTAAGGCACATCTCAGCCTCTTTGCACTTAGGAACATGAGAAGCACTTCAGCACTACGCTTGGGACGGTTTTATACCGGGAAATTAGCCACCAAAAGCACAAAATGCAAGAAACATGGCACTAAATAGGTCACCAAAGACATTTGTAGTATGAAAGCGGAAAGAAGATGGCAGGCTTATTGCCTTGTTTGACCTCAGCTGGTTACATGCATGCTATGGTCTGAATGTGTGCCCGCAAAATCCGTACGCTGAAATCCTAATCCCAAGGTGATGGCATGAGAAGGTGGGGCCTCCGGGAGGTGATTAGGTCCCTCACAAATGGCATTAGTGCCCTGATAAAAGGGACCCTAGAGAGCTAGCTCAGCCCTTCTGCTATGTGAGGACACCAGAAGTCTGTAAGCCAGAAGAGGGCTCTCCCCTAATCATGCTGATCTTGGACTCCCAGTCTTCAGAACTGTAAGAAATAAATTTCTGTTGTTATAAGCCACATAGTCTATGATATTTTGTTATAGCAGACCAAACAGACTAAGACAATGCCCTTTGGGTGACTCAAATTTTTTGCTACTCTGTGCAAGTCCACAAATGACCATGAAACTGATGGTTTGAAACTGATTTTGGGGGTTGTAAAATATTTTAGCAAGTAGGCATATTCACAATACAGAAAAAAAACACCCTGAAATCTATGAATAACGAAGACAGACTGTAAGACTCTAATTAGAACAATGGCCACCACACAGTAAGCCCTCAATGTACATTTGTGATTAGAATTACTTTAACACGCAAAATCAATCACTATGCAGCAATGACTCTTGTCACCCTGACATATAACACCTGTCATTTACTGAGCCTTTACTAAGGGTCAGGTCCTCTGCTGGCGTTTTACATTTAAAAATGCATTTTAGGGGTGCCTGGGTGGCTCAGTCAGTTAAGCGTCCGACTTCGGCTCAGGTCATGATCTTGTGGTCACGAGTTTGATCCCCACGTAGGGCTCTGTGCTGACAGCTCAGAGCCTGGAGCCTGCTTTGGATTCTGTGTCTCCCTCTCTCTCTCTGCCCCTCCCCCACACATGCTCTCTCTCGTTCTCTTGCTCTGTCTCTCAAAAATAAATAAACATTAAAAAATTTTAAAAAATAAAATAAAAATAAAATAAAAATGCATTTTACATTAAAAAAAATTTTTTTAATGTTTATTTTTGAGAGAGAGAGAGAGAGGGAGGGAGGGAGGGAGGGAGGGAGGCACAGAGAGTGGGAGATACAGAATCCGAAGCAGGCTCCGGGCTCTGAGCTGTCAGCACAGAGCCCGATGACACGGGCCTCAAACTCACGAACTGTGAGATCACAACCTGAGCTGAAGTCGGACACTTAACCGACTGAGCCACCCAGGCGCACCAGCATTTTACATCATTAACCACATTTCCTTCATGTCACAACCCTATAAGGTATGTGCCATTCTTATCCCCATTTTCCAGGTGAGGAAATGGAGGCGCAGAAAGGACACAGACTACTTAGAAGCAGTAGAGCCAGGGTTCAAGTGCATGTGTCTAACCTGGTGCTCTTCTCTCTGCCCAGTAATGATTTATTTTATCAAAGAGCCAGTGATTTTGTGAATAATCAGTAATATTAATCGACAAAGTTCATTGGATTTATGTCAGGCATTGGGCTCAGGGCTTCACCTGCAGGATCTTAATGAACCCGCTCAACGACGCTCTTAAAGAATCACTATTATTGGGGCGCCTGGGTGGCGCAGTCGGTTAAGCGTCCAACTTCAGCCGGGTCACGATCTCGCGGTCTGTGAGTTCGAGCCCCGCATCAGGCTCTGGGCTGATGGCTCAGAGCCTGGAGCCTGTTTCCGATTCTGTGTCTCCCTCTCTCTCTGCCCCTCCCCCGTTCATGCTCTGTCTCTCTCTGTCCCAAAAATAAATAAACGTTGAAAAAAAAAATTTAAAAAAAAAATCACTATTATTATGCCCATTTTAGAGATGGGAAAGTGAGGCTCACAGAGGTTTAGTGACTTATCAAGCGTAACAGGTGGGCTTCCATTTCCCAGTGGAGAGGAGTCCACGTGTCTCAATGGAGAATCCTCGCAAGGGTCTAAGCAGTTCTTACTCACCAGATGATCATGAAGAAAGGCACTGCAAAGGCTTCCGAGGTGACGCCATGGACCAGGGACTGCAGTGAGCTGGGAAAGGTGCTCACTGTCTTGGGGACCACCTCCCAGGTGGTGTTGAAGTTGGTGAACGGCCCACAAGCTTTTGAGGAAGGGACGCTGCCGGGACACAGACCAAGGGGCTCAGGGTGAGGCATGCGGCACAGGCTGAGTGCCACTCCTCCACCCGGCCACAGGCTTTGTCATCCAGTGACCTGTGAGGAACAGCCCGATCTTATGGGCCTTCTGGTATATTCTGGTCAAAAATGCTGACCCTGAAATTCCATCTAATCTGTAGACTGACTTCCAGTGTACAGGAAATGTAGCACAGAAGAGCAAGTTAAATGACACTGTAAGACAGCAATCAAATAGATCCAGAAGGTGGTAGTGATTTTGTGCACCAATCTCTCAGTTTGGAGGGGAGGAAACAGTTGTGGACTCTTCAAAGAATTAAAGATTAAAGGAGAGTAAGGAGACATGGCAATTAAAGCAATGGGTAAAACTCGAAAGATCCTCATGTTATTTTATTAAAAAAATTTTTTTTAACTTTATTTTAAAGAGAGAGTGTATGAGTTGGGGAGAGGAGCAGAGGGGGAGAGAGAGAGATAGAAAGAGAGAGAGAATTCCAAGCAAGCTCCATGCTCAGTGTGGAGCCCCACATGGAGCTTGATCTCATGACCTGAGCTGAAATCAAGAGCTGGACATGCAACCAACTGAGCCACCCAGGCGCCCCAGATAGATAGATCCTCATTTTTAAAAAAGGCTATAGAGGCACGTGGGTGGCTTAGTCGGTTGGGCGTCTGACGTCGGCTCAGGTCATGATCTTACAGTTCATGGGTTCAAGTCCCACATCAGGCTCTGTGCTGACAGCTCAGAGCCTGGCGCCTGCTTGGGATTCTGTGTCTCCCTCTCTCTCTGCCCCTCCCCCACTCATGCTTGCTCTCTCTCTGTCTCTCTCAAAAATAAATGCACACAGTGCTCGCTTAGGCAGCACATATACAAAAATAAATACACACAAAAATTTTTTTAAATATAAAAATAAGGCTCTAAAAGACTATTGGGGACAATTGGAGAAATTTGAAAATGGCAAGAATAAGACAGTATTCATTTTCTGAGATGTGATGTTATTGCAGATGCATGAGGAGGAGAATATACCCTTATTTTTAGGAGCTGCACAATCAAGTATTTAGCTCATATCTTCTGTGCACACCCAGATCTCAAAATGGGGGTGGCTGAGGTTATTATTTACATATGTCATGGTGCCTATAACAATTTCAAATAGGTCACCACACCCATAAAAAGCATAGGCATAGAGAGAGATAAAACAAATGTAGCAAAATGTTAACAACTGGGACATCCAGTTGATAGGTATGTGAACCTCTATTACTGCTATTTTTTTTTAACTTTTCTACACATTTAAATTTTTCAAAATAAAAAACTAAATAAAAACTAAATAAAATTCAATGCAAAAAATCTGTAATTAAGGCCTAAAAGAATTAAGTTCTGTGTATGAGCTTTTCCACTGTAGCCCTATTTTTATGGATAAAAAAAACATTCTTGGAAGCAACCTAACTATTGTTTAAGGCAATGGATGAACAATTTATGATCCATTCATAAAAGAGAACACTAAAAGAAACCACTGAAAGAGACATTGAGATGTAAAATGACTGGCTCCCATACAGAAAATAGTTGGGAAACAGGATTGGAAAATTAATTTTTTCCATCATATATTCTTATGTTATTTAAATTCTGTGGGATGTAAACATATTTATTACATATTTTGTAGAACTTTATATTTTATATATTTTATATTATATATTATATATATTTATTTATTATATTAAAAAATCAAAGCTAAAAAACATTTTAAAGGAATGAGAGAGTTCTGTATGTGCTGGCATGGAAAAGGGCACATCATAAAATTAACCGAAAAAAATAAGCCACCATCCACTCTCACCGCTGTTGTCTAACATAGTGTCGGAAGTTCTAGCATCAGCAATCAGACAACAAAAGGAAATCAAAGGCATCAAAATTGGCAAAGATGAAGTCAAGCTTTCACTTTTTGCAGATGATATGATATTATACATGGAAAACCCGACAGACTCCACCAAAAGTCTGCTAGAACTGACACATGAATTCAGCAAAGTCGCAGGATACAAAATCAATGTACAGAAATCAGTTGCATTCTTATACGCTAATAATGAAGCAACAGGAAGACAAATAAAGAAACGGACCCATTCACAATTGCACCAAGAATCATAAAATACCTAGGAATAAACCTAACCAAAGATATAAAAGATCTGTATGCTGAAAACTATAGAAAGCTTATGAAGGAAATTGAAGATATAAAGAAATAGAAAAACATTCCGTGCTCATGGATTGGAAGAATAAATATTTTTAAAATGTCAATACTACCCAAAGCTATCTACACATTCAATGCAACCCCAATCAAAATTGCACCAGCAATCTTCTCGAAGCTAGAACAAACAATCCTCAAATTTGTATGGAACCACAAAAGACCCCCAATAGCCAAAGTAATTTTGAAGAAGACCGAAGCGGGAGGCATCACAATCCCAGATTTTAGCCTCTACTATAAAGCTGTAATCATCAAAACAGCATGGTACTGGCACAAAAACAGACACATAGACCAATGGAATAGAATAGAAACCCCAGAATTAGACCCACAAAAGTATGGCCAACTAACCTTTGACAAAGCAGGAAAGGATATCCAATGGAAAAAAAGACAGTCTCTTCAACAAATGGTGCTGGTAGAACTGGACAGCAACATGCAGAAGGATGAAACTAGACCACCTCCTTACACCATTCACAAAAATAAACTCAAAATAGATAAAGGACTTGAATGTGAGACAGGAAACCATCAAAACCTTAGAGGAGAAAGCAGGGAAAAACCTCTCTGACCTCAGCTGCAGCAATTTCTTACTTGACACATCCCCAAAGGCAAGGGAATTAAAAGCA